GTCCTGGTTTAGACCTGGTTTTAGTTCTAGTTTAGTTCTAGTTTAGTCCTGGTTTAGTCCTGGTTTAGTCCTGGTTTTAGTCCTGGTTTAGTCCTGGTTTAGTCCTGGTTTAGTCCTGGTTTAGACCTGGTTTTAGTTCTAGTTTAGTTCTAGTTTAGTCCTGGTTTAGACCTGGTTTAGACCCGGTTTAGACCTGGTTTTAACCTGGTTTGAACCTGGTTTATTGTCCAGCAATGAGTGGAATTACCGGAAAAAAAACTAACAAAAAAACAAAAGGGCTATAGCCTGAAATGTGAAAACAGGAAAATACTGCTGTGTAATCCATTTACTTACTTTACAACAAAGTAACAAAGTAACTGTAATCCAATTACCACTCATTAAAACTGTAACTGAATACAGTTACTCATAATTTGTACTCTGATTACTCCGGTACATGTAATCTGTTACTCCCCAACACTGTTTGTGACATAAGTGTGAATATAGCCTGTTAATCTGAAATATGATGTCTTGAAAGATTACTCAAACATACACAAATCACTCCAAATACAACGAGAAGGTAAACAAATATAACATGGTTAAAAGGTCTGAAAAGTCCAGAAAAGGTTTGTTTAAACTATTACACACTTAGATCATTACATTTACATTATCTGATTGCGATATTGATCTAAAATGGCTTGAGAATAGAATCGGATGCATTGACTTCCTGTTCAAAACTGCAGAATTGGCACTAGTCTGGGACACAGTGACATCCCCACTGTAAAACAGCGTGTATTAGCCTGTGTGTGTAGGGGTGTGTGTGTGTGTGTGTGTGTGTGTTTATTAGTCTCTGGTTCTCACACTCGGAGCACTGGGACATCTGGAAGCTCTCCCCACACAGACTTCCCCTTCTCCTGCTCCAGCCACATCAAAGCTCAGAGAGGAACTAACCTGGAGGTACCCCCACCACACACACACACACACACACACACACACACACACACACACACACACACACACACACACACACACACACACACACACACACACACACACGCACACACACACACACACACACACACACACACACACACACACACACACACACACACACACACACACACACACACACACACACACACGCAAACGCACACACCAACAAACTGTTTACCACTTATTAGTGATGCTCATTTTGTCTTCTTATATACTTTAACTTCTTAGGTTCTTTTTAAAGACAATACAGTAAAGTGTATTTACCTTGTTGACGTGTTTCGGCTGATCTTCAGAACTGTCACCGGTGTTGGTGGTGACATGTCAACAAGGTAAATACACTTTACTGCATCGTCTTTAAAAAGAACCTAAGAAGTTAGGTAAATAATTAACAAAAAGCCAGGCCCAAGTGAGGTCATTTAAATCAAACTGAACAGAATAAAATTAATCCAACTAGACAAAGAACAGAGGTGTTTAAATACATGAGGACTAACTAAACACAAGAGGGAGGAATTACACAAAATAATTTACTAAAATGACCAACTTAATCAAAGTAACAAGAAGACAAATAAGTACAATACAGAAAATAATAAGTGATAATTAAGTAACCTTAAACAAACTAGACAAACTAACTTAGTAAAACAAATTAAATATTGCTCTTCTCCATGTTCTCCATCTGGTCACTCACACAAGTGTAAGTGACTTATATTAACCAAAACATGTGCACCCAAATTAGAATATAAGTCTAAATAAAGGAATTAAATTAAACTATGTGTGCTCAGTCAGACCTGTTCCCGGTGCATGTTGGACTCCGACAGGACTGCCCTTTGTCACTGGTTCTGTTCAGTGTATTTATAGACAAAATTTCAAGGCGCAGTTTGCAGATGATGTTGTCCTGATGGCTTCATCAGGCCAGGACCTGCAATGTGCACTGTTGCAGGGTGGAGAGTCCTTGTTTCATGTGGAGGAGTTCAAATATCTCGGGGTCTTGTTCACGAGTGAGGGGTCATGAGCTCTGGGTAATGACCGGAAGGACAAGATCGAAATTAGTTTCTTCTGCAGAGTGGCTGGATACTCCCTTAGAGATAGGGTGAGGAGCGCAGTCACATGGGAGGAGCTCAGAGTAGAGCTGCTGCTCCTCCACATCGAGAGGAGCAGCTGAGACTCTGGCATCTGTTCCTGATGCCTTCGGGAGGTGTTCTGGGCATGTCCCAGGAAGACCCAGGACACACTGGAGGGACTATGTCTCTGGGCTGGTCTGGGAACACCTTGGGGTCCACTTGGAGGAGCTGGAGGAAGTGTCTGGAGTGAAGGAAGTCTGGGAGTCCCTGCTTAGACTGCTGCCCCCGCGACCCGGCCCCGGATAAGCAGAAGAAAATGGATGGATGGATCAGGGTTGTCACTGGGCACCTGTTGTTACTGCAGTCAGTTATGATCTCTGAACTAGTCCCTCGATGTCCCCTGTGTCCCCCATGTCCCTCATGTCCCCATGTCCCTCCACACTGAACAGCGTGTGTGTTCTTGTACAGTGTGTTGAGGTCTGTGTGTGTAGTGAGTGTACAGGTGTAATACAGGTGTGTGTGTGTTTGTAGTGTGTGTGATAATGACACCTCTGACCTGGCACATGAAACAGCACACACCTGCTGCTCCACACCTCTGCTCTCTCTTTAGCAACCAGGGGCCTCCTCTCCTCCTCTTCTCACTCCTTCTCTCTTCTTTCCCTTCTCTTTTCCTTTCTCTCTCTCACCTTTCCCTTCTCTCCTTTCTCTTCTCTCTCAGGCTTTCACACTTTAATGGTGCTCATATCCATGGAGATGTTCCACAGTGGCATTAAACTTACAGTATCTCACATTTATTTTTACAATGGGAGTTATTACCATCCAAACTATCTAATCTCTCCACAGATCTGACCTGTAACTTGACCTGATGGTGTCACTTGTCATAATGGAGATAGATACATATAAATACTATGGAACTTTCCAGACAAAGTTATAATAATTCTATGGAGAGCACCAAAAAAATTGTGTTTTCATCTACCCCTTATCTCCGTCCACAGCCCTGTACTTACACGGGATTTAACAATTGTATTTGTATTTCTTTGTTAAAGGGACAGCGCATAAAAAGACAAGACAATGAAAGAGACAAACATGGACAGGATTGTGACCAAAGCTCATTTCCAACCTCAGTCCCTGCTGGACCAAGACCACATCACCTGCACACTTCATAAAACACGACAAAAGCCTACAACACCCGCTCCCACACGCATGCTCACGCATACACAACAAAACACTCATACAACGCAAGAGCAAGTGCATTAAGTGAAACAAAACAGACAGATAAGTTCAACTTTATTCACTTCATTCACAATAACTCAGTCCAGGCTAGAGTGTGGATCAGGATGAATGTTTCTGTCAGAGCCAAACCCACGTCTGACAGAGCAGTGATCAAATCTGACCTGAGCCCAACAGGCATTAAGATATTTGTGTCTGAATCTGACCAAACCCGACACAGTTAAAATCACAGGCCTGAAGTATTGCACCACATTTCACAAATAATAATAACACAGATTTGACTTGTCACTAAACTAGAAGTGCAGACCTCTGATCTTTAAACAATGAGGCTACGTTTATATGTTGACAGTCTGAACAGAAGACGCAAAAGTGGCGCTGCGTCTTCACTTTTTATTCCGCATTTAGACAAACACCTTTGGGAGGAAATCTGCTGCATACGGTGATGCAAAAGTGTATGGAATTTGATTGTGTGTGCATACTGTCTGTCTCGCCTGAGACGAACTGGTGCATCCAGAATTTGACAGAGGTGATTGCAGATCCTTCTCTGGTCACTAATAGTATCTCTGCAGGTTCTCTACATTTGTTGTTTTGCCTCGTGTAGGTTTATTAGAGCTGCCAGAGCAGCTTGAAGGTCCGACGCATGAAAATGATCCCACATGATCCCACACTCTGTGTACTGTATGTATGTGACATAGACGCGTACGCAGCGTGAGCAGATCTGAGCAGAGTTTAGCATCTTGGGCAGTGTAGATGGAAACACTACAGCTGAGTGTATTCAACTTTTCCACTCTAGAGTGTGCTTTCAGATTTTTGCATTTTTAAGCCCCAAAAACACCATCACCGTCTAAATGACTGGCACTTCCAATAAACTGTTTGTCGTTTTTACCCCCAAGCGTTCTTGTATAAACAGACCCTTAAGAGTCTCACACAACTTGTAATTCAATATATTGAGACAGTTCTTGATATTATCGTGAGAGTTTTGAGATACGATATCACAATATTTAGGTCATTGTTACATCCCTGTTATCTACTATTTAAGTAGATTCAGAGTGGTCTTGCTGCTGAGGCTCAGCCCGTCACGCAGTACGTCAGAGAACAATGAAACAACTGAAAACCTACTTCTCGTTATGGTTAAATATTTGTACTTTTGCCTTTTTAACACGCGTCATTCCCCGTCGGGGCCAGCAGAGGGAGCGCAAGTGTTCACAGGGACAGTTTTTGTACTACTCCTACTGCTCAGATACTAGGTGGTAGTTACTTCAAAGTTACTCAAATTGAAGTACAAAGTAATGTTCTAAGAAAAAGTAAGAGTTAAAAAGTATTTGGGGAAAGTGACTTCTCAAGTAACTAGGGACGTAACATTTATAATTTGAAGTTGAAAGTTATTTAAAGTTATTTGAAGGGATGACATAAAAAAAATCATATCTGAAAGAGAAGAAGCACAACTTTTGCTCAAGTAAGAGTACTGTTACTGGAGTACTGGAGTAAAAATATGCTGACAGAAAAGTAAATGTACACCTAAACCTCCCCTGGCAGTAGTCACAGTAGCAATCCTTTTATCCAAATGTTTTTAGCTCCAGAAAATAACAGAGATTTATGAGCACTCTAGCCCCTCCCTCCTTTCTCTCTCTCTCCTCCTCTCCTCTCTTCTCTCCATCCCCCCGTCCCCCTCTCGCTGGTCTTCTTCACTCGTCTTCCTCTCTCTCGTGCACAGGAGCTGGGCAGTTGTGTCCGGAGGTAAAC